GTATTTTACATTAAATAAATCACCTGCAACCATAGATTATTTACAAATGCTTTCAAAATATTTAAAATAATGTGCTAGTTACTTCACTACCTATAAAACCAAAGACTATATTACTAAACTTAACTGTTCGTATGATAGGTTAAGGTAGCATTTCTTGAATAAAGATTTYCCTTAAACAAAAATACAAAATAAAATGTGAATAAATAGACTAAACACGTCTATCGAGCCTACATTTATTAAGAAGGTAGAAGCTACTTTCTATTTTTCTAACTTTCAAGATAATATAATGAAATGTTCTTCGTTGACCACGAAGAGTGACGATGATTTTTCGCAAACGTCTTCTCAATATAATTTGAACAATGGTGAGATTTAAAAAAAATACTCAGAAAATTGAATAACAGAATGCTTCTCACGTTCCAGTGACCAGCCATAATATCCCAGTCCCACACAGTTGTTTTCTTACTGTTCAACAACTGGTTCTACACTTACCAGTTATCCACGGTGTTTTATTATCATCATACTGTTTACCAGTTTACCGCAGTCACTTTGTATAACTATCAATCGGTAAACACTTAACAAACATTATGTTTTTATCAAACGCGTTTTCCTAACGCACTGCATACATGCATACATATATATTTTTAATATTTTTATCGACGTCGACAATATGAAATAACATGATTAGGTAGTAGATTTGTAATATCTGTAGGAATCCGCGTTACATTTTAGTATGCCACACGTGACTATACACGCGCAGCGCGCCACGCGGAGAATTTTCTTCAGTGGTTGTCGTCATGGCGGATATTATGTGCAATAATATTGGTAGGATAATACGTGTGATGTAACGCACATGATTTCAACGGAGTATTAATACGATAATTTCGTTTCTCCGAACAGCATAATAAACAGTAAATACTAAATAGTCTACGCTGTGAAGTCCTCGTGGCACCATCAACGGTAACGTCGGTAACTCGCTGATGTACCTACGCGTTCATATAAAACATTTTGTATTTTTTTTTTTTTTTTAGGACATACTATCATACTATAAGCGCTAACTATTAATTAATAATAATAACACAATAAGTAACACGATGGAACAGTGGAAAGGCAAGGTGGCGATAGTTACTGGCGCCAGTGCAGGAATCGGGGCGTCGATCGTGGTCAAGTTGGTGCAGAATGGCGTGCACGTCGTGGCGCTTGCCAGGAGAGAAGACATACTCAAGGTAAACTATTACTTACAGATAATAATATTATATCAATCGTTTAATCCGATCAACATGGATATTAATGATATTATAACTGAACGTGCTTGTACCAGTGATGTATTTAGGCGGCCAGGGTGGTAAATTTTTAGGGGCGCTAGGAGAGCATTTTGATATAATACGGTACTTAGGTATAATTAGGGTGATAAAAAAAAATAATGACACTCAGATACTAGTATAAGTTATCATGTTTTTTTTTTTTTTTACAAATACACCCCTTGCTAAAGAAATTTAGGTTGGAAAGTGGCATTTTTTTATCTAACCTGGGGCGTGAAATTCCTAAATACGTCTGTAGCTCAAACTGAGTCGTGGGAAAACGATACAATCTCTGATTTGAGAAAAAAATTTGATTTATAACTTCTTATAGTATAATATTGGCTTTCCTATTTAAATTCAACTGTGAAATACAATGAAATAAAAATAATAATGATAGCATCATTTTTTAAAACATAATATACCTTACCTTTAATATATTATTGTTATTAACTTTTGAGTAAATATACCGACTTACTGTCGAACCATATTCAGGTTCAAATAATTTAAAATTTGGAATGTTTTTAAAATGTTATTGTGAAGTTATATAAAATATAATAATATATACATACGTAAAAGTTTCTATTGTTATTATTCATTTACGTAGATATCTAATTTCGGCTAAATTTTAACATAAATGTCAAAAAAAAATTGGACCTGTATTTTTTAATATTATTAATTAAATAGCATCAATAAGTACAATGAATCTTTTTTTTAAATTTTAATGTTTTTRATCAAGACGATAATTTTTTACTGCAAAAAAAAATGGTATCTACACTATTACAGTCTAAAAAAACAGGCAATTCCAAACTAAATTAATTATATTTGCTGAACATCGTGATACTAAAAAAATAACGATTTTATATTGCATTTTAAACTGGGATTTTAAAGTTTACTTCTTTAGTAACTCTAGAACGAAAAACTAACTATTACTTACAAAAGCTATATCGTTGAGAAACTATTTAGAAATAAACTAGAGACTCTAAACCAGATCGATTATATTTTGATAATCGATTGTAACTACACGCTTGATACCGGCTTGTCGTAATCTATTATRACGTATAATGTGCTTATATGCATATCGAATATCGAGTCCGTAATATTATATAGAATTCAATTCGATGATTCAGTTTTTCAGCTTAGATAAATGTCTACTACAACAGTCAAACAAGAGTTACATTTTTATTTTTTTCTTGGTTGCTATTGAATGGTGAATGGCATTGTAATTGGATAAAAAATTCGATTTACCAAGCTGACTTGCACTATTTATTTTGTCGACTCCAATATTATATTAAATAGTGATACCTTGCTGTTCGGTGAATTCAATTTAGATATTTTTCAGCTGTATCTATTTATTTATTTTTATTGACGATTATATAATACAAAGCAATATTAGTACCTATAACAAAATAATTCAATAAATTAATATAAAACTTATTATTATGATTCAAAAAACGTATGCATAGTTGAATTAAACAGATGACTTGTACGATAAGTGATGATTATGGAATGACAATTTTGGTCGGTGATTGCGGGGTGGAGAGGATGAGTATTACGTTACAGACATATTTAATCGTAGATGATAATAATATAATTCTTACAGGTAGTTGAATATTCGAACAAGGWTTATTTTCTTCGATTGATATCGTGATTGAAATTACTGAAAATTTCAGAAGTCTAATGTGTTGAGACGATATATTTATTATTGTTTCGATTTCGTAGGATTTTAAGAAGTTAATAAATAATGAAAAAACCTGTTCTGTAAGTTGGATTTAATTATTGTTTATAATATATAATTTTGAGTAACGGGTGGTCTTCAAAATTCGTAGTGTACGGCCTTATACCTTGTCTGTGCGGTATACAATATACGTACGTGTTATCATATTATTATAATATATTGTATTCGTCGGTAGAATGATCAACAGACTTACAGCTGTATGCACCGTACAAATAATGACCACAAAATCGTTAAAAACAGATTATTGGTTTGAATAATTATTTCTTAAAGGTTTAACCACTGTGATTATTTAGAATATAGTTCACGGTGACCAAAGTCTAAACTCAATATTATAATATTATATCGATATAATCAATATTTATTATTTGATAGGTATTATTGTTTACCTTAATCGGAGTCTTAATTTTAGCGATACAATACTAAGCTAGTCCCAGTGTCACAATAAATTACGATAACTTTGTCTAATATATAAATACTAGTAGGGATCTACTTAAAACTTCATAGCATTATGACATGTCCCTTAGGCTGGGAACACACTAGCATTATTTTACCACGCGACATTTTACTGCATGTAACGCGYGGTAAAAACATCGACCAACACACGAGCGTTATTTTACCGCACAATATTTAGTTAAATCTTAAATGATAACGTGACGTAAAAATAACATTGCTGTTAATAAATTGTCATATTTACAACAATATTTATCAAAATTTAGCTTTAGCGTAATTAAAAGTCGTTATGGCGAGTAAAAACTTTTACTTCACTCGGAAAGTATTTATTTTTAAAACCATTCAATGTTATACACATTTACTTCCTTTTGTTATTTTGCTAATAGATGACACGACTGGTACGATGATGCCTACTTAAGTATATATATTTTTAAATGCATAATATACTTATGATACTTTTATTAATTTTAAGCGAAGAATAGAATTGAAGGCTTTGAAGAATTAACTCATCAATGAACGGTACCTAGTCGTGTGAGTAGGCTTCACGTTAAAAAATTGCTGGAATACAAGTGCGTAGCATARTAAATTTATGCTCAGCAGCCCCGGGTAGCTTCGTTAGTTTAAAAAATAGACCGAATGAACCCATTGAAACCGACTGAAACTTGGTAGTAAGAATATTATCTGAGTTTGTATGTGCATTTTACAATATTTCAGTTTTTAAGTAAGTTATAAGCATTTTTTATTTATGCTTTATTAAATACTCAAAACTTGATAAAAAATYGAATTATCGGAAAAAACCCTCATACAAACACAAACAATTTTCTTACCATCATGTTTCATAATAGGTCGATACACTATAATTTTTAAAATAATGATGCTACACGTGATCTAATGTGTGTAAATTTTCAATGTTAAACTTTAAGAATGATACAACAAATGCCAGTGTTGCGTCCTCTTAAGGCGCAATGGTGTGGCATAATTATATGTTAGTTTAAGAATTTAATCCTTGCAAGAATACTTCCTTGAACCTCGAACTCTTGAGATTATGACTTAAGTTACATTTTTAGTGTTCTAACTATAATCTACGATTCATACTCACACAATAGGTACCCAATATTTAAGTTTTTGTAGATAAATTACATTCCGACGCAACATAAGTACAAAATATTTTTCTTTCTAATGTTTATCAAACTATCTAAAAAATTATTATATTATACTCTTTAACCCGCCATGAGTCGCACCATTGTATGTAACACATGTGGTCGCACAAGGTCTTTTTGACCGTTCACTTATATCTCATATTTTTTTTAACATTTTACATACAAATGCATTTATTAATAATTTACAAAAATTATATTTTATTTATTTATTATATTTTACAATATAAATTGATATTAATGAACCGTGTGACGACTATCTTGACGCGTATAAAGCTATACGGAATGCGCCGGCCGCCGAGAGAGCGGAAGTCGGCCGCGCGGTTTTGAGGTCTTATTTCTCCCACCAAGTCGACTGTCGGCAAAAATAAACGAAAATATTGCAACGTTCGAAGAGATAAGAGGTAAGTGACTAGATATATTGTTTTTGTTGGTTTTTCCATTTAAAATTGTATGCCGACGAAAATAATACGTAACAAAATTGATACCGAGGTTAGTTGCACACGGTCTTTTTGACAGGTTACGGACTTTACAAATAGCTATAAATTCAATGAACAATAATAGACTGTTCTAAATAGTTTTAAAAAATAGGTCAACGTGTACATTGAAGGTAACCAAATGCATGAAATAAAGTAAATTACTCACAATGATTTATAAGTRAAATAATAAACTCACGGTCTTTTAGACCGTGATGCGACTCATGGCGGGTTAAACAGTATAAACTATCACTGTTGAAATTAATTGAACTATGGAGGCATCAACTATAGGGTGACAGTTATTTTTCATACACTTTTAATTATATTGTAAATAGGATATCATATTTTCCTCAAATGTATGTATTRTATAAGTAGTTTATGCATTAACTTCGCATAGTATACTACACGCAGTTATGAATGGTCAAAACTTTTACAAAAAAAAAAAAATAATAATAACAATACATTATTTTTCAAATGTTCCAATTTTTTTTTTTAAATTTAAAAGTTACAATGTGTAGTATCTGTCAACATAATAAATTAGCATAAAATACAAGCAATAAAAAATAATTAAGTAATGTGAAAATATGACGTGAGAGACTGTCTATCGATGTAGAACACTAATAGGAGGTCCGAGGTGAATTAATCAATGGTATCTCGATTTGTCAGTGTCTTCCAAGACGTGATGGCTGGGTGTTGTCGAAGAGAGAGTGAAAATAAATAATAGGGTTGGAGTAATTAAAATAATATCTAAATATTACATTTTTAGAAAATATATTTTAATATCGTCTGCACTTCTTGACAACTTACTTACTGAATTAAAAAATTGGAAAATATACTTAAACGCTGATACATTTTAAMAGTATAAGTACATTATTAATTTTTTTCTGGCTTTATTGTAAAATATATAAACATATTTAAATATTAAATTTTTCCTTAAGGAATTAGCCGAATCTTTAAATGATAAAGACTATGGAACTATTCATACAAAGGTATGTGATGTTACCAATGAACAAGCTGTAAAAGATGTTTTTTCGTGGGTAGATTCAACACTAGGAGGTCCCAGTATTTTAATTAACAATGCTGGAGTTGCGAAAGTATCGAGCCTTTTAAGTGAGTACACCTGCTACCTATAGAACACATTTAAAAATTCTCAAAAAACTTTAAATAATTTTAAATATCACTTTCGTGATAAAGACGGGAAATTAAAAGATTGGCAAGAAACATTTAATCTCAATGTTCTGGCACTGAGTGTTTGTTCAAGAGAAGCTTACAAATCAATGACGAAAAATAAAATTGATGGTCACATCATTCATATAAATAGGTAATTTATTAGTATTGTTTAAACATTTTTTTATTTACTTTAATACAGTTTAATAATAACTAATAACAGCTACTCGTATACAGTTTCAGTGGCGGCGCGAAATAGTTGATTCTTATTTGAATCAAATTGTATATTTTAAATATTTTTAAAATTTGCTCCAAAATGATCCGCAGAGTGCTAACTTTATATACAGTAAACTCAGCAACATAATATTTTATTAATATTACAATATTTGACAAGAACCATGATAATATGCGTGTTGATGATTTGAGATCTTACTGTAATGCTCTCGCCCCACTCATTACAGACATGAAGTACTGATACTACCCACCGCCACTACGATAGTGATGAATGCGTATAATATTTTTGATCATGTTTATATTTTACAAACAGCTTAATGTATAAGACGGCCACTATTAGTTTATTTATTAAAATAAGTGATAAAAGAAAAGTTTATTATTATAACCACCTGTATTTATTTGATTTTAGTATCGCCGGTCATGGCTTAACTCCATATTTTGGGTTCAAAATGTATAACGCTTCAAAGAATGCAGTCACGGTACTGTGCGATGGACTTCGACACGAATTACAATTAGTGGGATCCAAAATCAAAGTTTCGGTAGAGTACAACATAATATTATATTATATTATACAGTTATTAGTTTATTACTAATTGTTTCGTTAGTTGTTACTTCTATATAACTTTTAGCATCGTATAATATTGTTTATTTATTTATCAAAAGTAACGATTCTAATGGATATTTTAAGAAAAATCATATACAGTGGTGGTTTCAATATTCTTCAAAGTAGAATTATATTATATTTTAGCGGGAAAAAAAACGTTCTTTAAAAATCAACATCTACAGCAAAAATTATATTATGGAAATGGACTCCGTAGTTATAATACTAATAATACTATAACTTAGAGGTATGAAAATTTTTTTTCCGAATAAATTAGAGGTGGGATATATTTTAATATTATATTTACCTACCTAATTACGTTTACATGTATTTTTTTTGTTTGTTATTAATATTGTTATTGAGAACTTAAAAAAAAATAAATACTTTTCGTTGGTATCTACTCTATATTTTATATTTTATAATATGTGTTTAGGTTCTGTAGAAGCAATTTTTAGTGTTTATAGCCCTTACTATTATATATTCATACATAGACTATAGGCTATAAACATTTTGTTTGATACCTATATTGCAAAATAGCATTTTCTTCTTAAGTATGATTAAAAACTGTTTTACGGGTTTTTCGCTATTACGAACTTCTCCTCGTAAAATCTGTAATCTATTTTACCTTTATAAGAGCATTCCATTGTAGTTTCAATTTTCAATTTTATTTTTGTCAAATGCATTATGTTTTATTATGTAACGGTCGATAACTATACGTTTACATTTAAGATGATTTTTTTTAAAAAGAATATATTTTATAATATATATATATTATATATATAAATCATGCGTTAAACATATTTCTAAATTAGGTTAGTTATTAACTGTCATATGCATTCATGTATAAGTATAAATTTATCGCGTTTTGATATTTATATTTTCAGATAGTTTAATACATAAATAATTTTATTTTTTTGTTTACTCGAATAGTCAAAAATAATATAAAAATAAAAGGTGCATAATAATAATATCTAAAGGATAATAAAAACAAAAATTTATGGGAATTYGATCATTATTCAGAGATTTTTTATTTTTATATATTTCTATAATAATAATATAAAGAAGTTTTCTTGACAACTGTTTGTCTAAACAGTATATTTAAATCGATTTGCCAAAAATACCATATTCAATGCACAGAATAATATAGGAATATAGTTAATTACATAATTCTATTGYTCTTAAAAAGTAYAATAATGTATTATAATTTATAAGATTATAATAGGTTGGTTTTGCCTCCTCACAAAAGATGTCTGACACAAATTAATGATCCCCTAACAAATCTGTGTGAAATACTTGCACCAAACGAAGAGAGAACATCATCAATTTTAGAATTGCTCAAAGAGACCAATCTTTTGCATAAAATATAATAGCATCAGCAAAACTTAGAATACCACACAAAATGTAAACATATTTCTCTTAAAACTTATTGCATCGATTTTTCACCTATTTACAATTTAATATTTTGTAAAAATTAAGTAAACTATAATACGTATTTTGAAACGCTAATAACCCTGGTAGTTGAGGCGTATTTATTAAGAAAAAAAAACAATATTGTTGGTTAGAACTTAATAAGTTTATAATCATAAACCAAAACAAACGAAACCCTTATCTTTTATACTTAGAAATTCAATTTTGTTCATTTTTCTTAGAGTATCTCAACTTTTTTTATTGTTAATAGAATTTTCGACCGCTGCCATAGACAGCATAAGAGTGGATAATATGCTATGCATCCTTATGACACCATAATTAATAAACTAATTGAACAATTATTTAACATTGTCATACACTATACACTATATACATTATACATTGGTAATATATAACATAACATAACAAACGAGCCTTAGTGGTAGTGAGAGTCCATTCTTCTACTATGTATTTATATATATATATATATATATATATATATGATCGCTGCTTTCGTTATTTAGTGTTGGTGTTGTACGTTAGTTTTAAATTTTATATTTGGATAACTGGTGGTCTTAAGAGGACGTCGCACCCGCATGTGTTGTCTCCGTCTTACACATGTACGACATAGGAAATGTTCGTTCGCTAGTTTCAATANACCAACGAGAGAACACAGATAATGTTGCTACCTAAAAGTTTGATAATAGGTGGATTCACTCTAATATCAAAACTGACAATACCCTATTGAAACTAGCAAACGAACATTTCCTATGTCATACGTGTTAAGACGGAGACAACACATGCGGATGCGACGTCCTCTTAAGAATACAATAACATGCTAAATTAAATGAAAAACTTTCAGATTAGTTAGATTTTGATTATTTATTTATTTATTCAAAAGATGGAAACTTTATACAGGTCACGTATTAGGATTTTATGAAAGTTATATTGAGTTTCGAGAACTCTACTTTCATAAGTTGTAATAAGTATCAACATATTCAAAAATCTTTGAGTAGACAGGTATTTTGAAGTATATATTTCCGGTGTTACTTAAGTTATTCAAAAATCGAATCCAATATAGCAACTTGAATAAACTTTTCCTCTATTAAATAAAAAAGGATGAAAATAAGATTATTCTATGTAGCGTGATCGTTTTTTGAAGTTGTTGAAATTAATCGTTGGTTAAACGATTTGATTGTTTCAGTTATATAGCCACGCAACATAAATATAGAAATCGTCTGAATTTTCGCCTTAATAAAATAGCCAACATTTATGTCAAGTAAATACAGGGCGCGTGTGGAATTTTATACTTATCAGTTTCCTGTTATTTTTTTTTTTTTATTACACCCTCAAGTATCCATACGTGCGTGATGTTGTAATTATACAGGGTGATTGATTTATCATAAAACACTCATTATTTCAAAAAGTATTAACTTTTTTCAAAATATTTTTTTACATGGTTTCAAGTTGTTAAAAAACCAACGTTTTTATTAAAAAATTATAATTTTAAATATTTTTTATCCTTATCATTTTTTAAGTTTTTTACTTTTTTGAATGACAACATAGAGTTTTAATTTCATATTCCAAAGCAGAATATTTTTCTAAGTATTTTGATACATAAAAATCGATTTTGGGGCTAGTAGTATTATATAGTTAAATTATTATAATTGATAATATGTATACTTTAATGGTTAATATTTTTAGTTGTTTGTCTGTTATGTTATGTATGTTACATGGTGAGCTCAATAAAACAAAAATCTGTTATACATAACTGCACAATTTGTTGCAATAAATACACTTACCTTCCAAGTTTTAAGGTATTGCTATAGTTGCTATAYGTACTAGGATAATACGACATTTGCGTGTGCCAGTTGCCTGTGAGCGTATTACTCTCCCAGCCCTTTTTTGAGCAATACATTTTCTAATATATTAGCACTTATAACAATTTTTATTGAGTTAACGCACTCTGAGTGTCATTTTTATATATTTTTGAACGCAAATATTATCAAAAATTAAGTTATTGATATGGATTGCAATAGGTAGTTGCATTTATATTATTTATTGTCTTTGTAAATCGTAAGGTGAATAACATTTTTAGCATACCTTGTTTTTCTCGACCTTTCAAGTTAACTATAGATTTAGTTTGGTATGTCAGTACGTTTATAAATTAGAATAATTGTGATAAGTATCATCAATTATAGAATATTCTGTAATCAATGGTATCACGATAACTTCTATGGTGTATTGGTATAACTATTTACGGAAACATAAAAATCTAAGATTTGTACCCGAATAATTAGTAGTTTATCGCTTGTAGGTATCTAAGTTAAGAAATTTAAAACAAAACTATAAAATAAAAAACCGTTTTAATTTCTCACTGAACGTTTAGGAACTATAACTAGGGTTTTTGAAACCAAGTCTGCTGATATTCTCCGTGGCTATGATGATCATTCATTCGTTACGGAATTACCTAAAAACGATCGATTCAAAGATTTGTAAATTTATTAATTATAGCAATAGATACACGAAATAAATTCGTGATTTAAACCACTTTTGCATTTAAACACAAATAATTTTCATACACAACGTGGATTATGTTTTAGTGTTTTTGGTGGTACATAGGTATAATATWATATWATATTATAAAATCAATGCTGTAACATGTTATTTTTATTATTGTTATATCACTATATCAGTGAAAATGTTAAAATTGACCTTATTAAATGATTTCCATTGTATGTAATAGTGTACTATGTTTAGATTAACCATACTCATAAATACCACACATACATCCACATTTTAATGTGTGATCTCTGTATTTGATTACTCGGCGGTCTGCTACAAAAACTAATAAAATAAAACCAGAAATATGCTTTATAACGTAAAATAACATAATATTGTTTTATATCTGTGTACTAGATACATTAGCGAGTTTCGTACGTTGCACGAAGAGAGATGCTTCACAAATTAAGTTGTACATATTACTTGTTATATGAATTAAAAGAAATAGTGGAGGGAGCGTGTATGTTATAATACAATTTAAGTTTTTGTAAAGTAAGCATCTGTAAAAAATACAATTAAAATGCCAACATTTGAAATTTCAAAAAATTGTTGATGTTGTAGGATTATGAAGAACAATATAATTTTTTTAGTGTAGATAGGTACGCACTTAAAATTAAATTTTCTTTACTATTTACTCCATACTATAATAATAATCATAATAATTTGTTGTAGTAGGTTATTCTTAATACCAGTACATAATATTATTATACAATTAATTTAATTTGCTGTACATTAATTGTACTTTGTACATTTTAAAGTTTGTTTTTCTACAAACGCGTGAAGTAAAGACTGTATACACCTAGGTACTATAATAGTTTGTATAAGTAGTATAATACGATTGTCTCAGCTAAGTTATCTTTGTTGTGATACATCGTATTATATTAAAATTCAAGTCTAACGGAAGGATAAAGTAATTTAGGTTCACACTACAATTACTATCTAGATATTAGAATATCTGTTAAAATACATAAACATTAGTTTTGGTAAAAAATCTGAGTACAATTTATGATAAAGATATTGATGCAAATTACCGATACGTGTGAAATAAAACCACACATAAATTAATTTATACTATACTTTATTCGGCTTTATGACTTGTTTCTATAAGGTGTATAAAACGGATGTCCATAACTAGTTGCGAATGTACGAGAATCTGGTATTTAATAATTGATTGCAATATAATTTGAAAACAGTTAGAATACTTGGATTTGTATCAAAAATGGATGTTTAATTATATAATTTTTGTAATAATCTTGTTACAAAACACACATTTTACATAACGAAATCGTTGTAAATTATTTTTTTTAATATATAATTTATATGTTGTATGCTTATAACAAACGGTTTTCTGATAACTTATCTAAATTTGTAACGTACAGGCAATTAATTACATTATTATTCACTTTTTAATAGTCTGTTACATAATGTACCTATATAGTAATAGTTACCTAGTATAACCTACGTATAAAAATTTAATTAATATAATATCTAAGCTGACACAAAACTGCTCGCATAACATATAATATAACCTACCATATTATATTTTAGTATGTAGTACCTATAGTATCCACTTCGGAAGAGCAACGTAAGAATTGAAAACAATGAAAATTTAAAAATTTCATGTTCATAAAATGTATATAGACCCGTTAAATTTTGTATATATATCTAGTATTATTAATCTGCTGCAATAATCAAACTTACATAAATGCTTAGGTAGGTATTACTTATGAGTACGATTTGGTGACGTATATTTTATAAGAAGGAAAGAGACAATGCAAATGATACATACTTATTACTGTTTATATTATTTTTGGTTAGCAAAAACTTCTATGCCTCCTAAACATAGATTATTTTTTATTTTTTTTTAATAATAATTCTCGATGTAGTATTMTCTAGTTTCTTTAATGAAAGACAATTTATGTTTTGCGTATTAGAATACTAGAATAGTGATAAATAATTATTTGATCGGAAGGTCTCGGAACATTAATTTTAGAATAGTAATGAGTGATAACGGTTTTYACACATTTATATTGTTACCTGTCCTGACGGACCGACGAATGTCATACCATCATATTGATTTGAATTTTTGCGATCATTCGATCACTTATGAATTGTCGATTAATGTAAATATATAATAATAATATTGATTAAATTTTATGTTTAGAGTATTAGCCCGGGACCAGTGGCTACAGACATGTTAGCAGGAGTCAACAAAATCTTAACAGACCGGTCTATGGAGGATTTAAAATTTCTCCATGTAGATGATGTCGCGAATGCCGTAATCACATCTTTGTCAACTCCACCAAATGTGCTTGTAAGTAAAAATACTTGTATATGCATACGAATTTTTGTTGATTTATCTAATATGGTATAAATCTAGTTTATGATCTAGCTATTTATTATTATTTTTTTTTTTTTTTTAAACACTTCGTACAGTATCTGAATCGTCATATTATGAGAAACAGAATTGTATCAACCAAAAGTTTACCGAATTAGAAATTACAACCTAGAATTATCGACTACTATTATTTTTTTGCACTGCATTTATAATTTATTTATTACTGCAATCATAATTTTTATAGATATTACATGGTCGTAGTTTGAAAAAATTGTTGATAAATCATTCTACAAAAGTTCCATTTAAATATTTATAACTTTAGAAATGAATTATACTATAAAATTGTTGAATAGAAACTGCAAAAAAACTGAGACATTAAAGAATTCCATATGATGTAAAATAATTTAGTAAAAAGTACAAAAAGAAATATTTGATGAAAAATACTAATCCTACATTACTATGTATAAACAGTGATTTATTTTCTTAGTCTGATCAAAATGTTGACKACTTCAAAATCCACCTGTTTGCTTATAAACTCGTATAATTCTGGTACCGAGTACCTAGTACCTATATAATATAATTCGGACCTCCCATCATTACATACGCGGAACACAATAGATTCGCAAACAGAAGTATTTTACAAAATTTAGTATAAAAGCTCTAATATGTAAAATGCAACGTGCATGTTTATATTTATGTAATAATTGTGATTTATAGACTTAAAAGTCTACCAATTTTGGCTTATATTTAAGGGTATTACAAAATAGATAGGTATGTCACTCAAAATTTATTTTTATTGAGGTGGAGTCTATTATATAGAAAATTATATTTTATATTGAAAATTCGTAAAATAAAATAAAATGTGAACAGATATTGTTTACATAAAACAAAATATAAGTCCATTCGTATTAATTTTGAAATAAACGTCAACAGTTAAATTTATTCCATTAATTTACAACTAACCAATGTTCTAAATTTTCTTAGATTTAATAATTTATTGCACAAATGAAAATATTATAATGTTATGCTTAATTTCACAAATGCCTATTTCCAGATAGCTGAAATGACTGTCATACCAACTGGATCATTAATAAAAACTCATTTACAACCGAGTTCTCGAGTCGTGGAAAATGCATTGAACTTATAAGTTATTACTTATTATGATTCATTATGCTAATATTTGATTATTTGATTCATGTTATTAAAAATAAAAATATTGATTGTAAACTACTTAAATGATTCAAAAATA